TAAAAAAAAAAAAAAAAAAAAAAAAAAAAAAGGAAAGCAGAAAACAAATTCTGTTTTACCCAGTAATGGAATATACTGACTCTACCAGGAAAAGAAGACCAATTACCCGCAGAGCCGTTTAAAATAGTACCATCCTTAGAATGAATGTTAACTCTGTACTCCCATCCTTCAAAGATTTAAACTTACTCTTGGGAGATGAGTATGCATATGTTTAACTTAGCAGGAAAAAGTCATTGTATCAACTGCTCAATGTTAGAGCAGAAAGACGGGTCTGTCATACAGGATGACAAGGTTAAGTGGGCTCCAGAAAACTGCCACTAGAATAAATTAGAATTAGGATGCCAATTTCCTCTAGCTTCAATTTGGAACTTCTTATATAATGGGGAAAATGTACATGGAGTCCACTCTGGCCATTATCAACAGAGCTCTCAAGGAGAAATGTTAAAACACTCCTCATAAGCAAGTGTGGTTCAATCTTTGTTGAGTAACCATCAAAAGTATAAGGAAAGAAGAGGTCGCATGGGTGGCTTAGTTGATGAAGTGTCTGCCTTCGGCTCAGGTCATGGTCTCAGGGTCCTGGGATCAAGTTCTGTTTTGGGCTCCTTGCTCAGTGGGGAGCCTGCTTCTCCCTCTGCCGGAAGCTCCCCCTGCTTGTGCTCATGCTTATCTCTCTCTCTGACAAATGAAATCTTTAAAAGGAAAAAAAGAAAAGCATAAGGAAAGATCTGTGTAATTTGTATTTATAGAAAATACTTAAAGTTCTTTGTTTTGGTGGCTCATTAATTTATTAGCCGTGAAAGATGCCACATGTCTTTGTCAGATCCTGCTTACCCTGGAGGGTGGAAGCACCAGAAGGAAAGTCTCCCTGGAAATATGTCCACCCCTAACTTTTGCATGTTTTAGGGCAAGAGTATGTATGAAGGCCCACATAGAGGCATCTGAATATCTAGAAGTTACGAAGCAACCTAACACATTGTTGAATTAAACATATTTATCCTCCTTATCCTTCTTCCTCTTACTTATAAATCTTTCAACAAAATTAAAAACATATGTATCTATTCCCCTTGGTTGCATTCGGCGGGGCGAGGGGTTTGTGGCTAGCATTGGCTGGCTCAGCCAGTGCAGTTGGTGACACTGGGAGCCAGGGAAACTTGTCTAGCACCCTTGAAGAACATAATCTTGTTCAAGTGGTAAAAGTTAAAAATCACCAGTGATGGAACAAGTCAACTTTGTGTGCCTCCTGATATAATGCACTGAGAAGAACACAAAAGTACTTCCTACTAAATCTATGTAATTTGATCTAATTACATAATTTAACTATTCTGATACCTGATGAACCACAAACAAACTCAAAGTGAGTGACATTCTACAAAGTAACTGGTCTCTATTTCTCAAAAATGACAAAATCATGATGGATAAGACTAAAGAACTATTCCAGGGGTGCCTGGCTGGCTCAGTCAGTAGAGCATGTGACTCTTGATCTTGGGGTCATGAGTGTTAGCCCCATGTTGGGTGTAGAGACTACATAAAAATAAAATCTTTAAACAACAACAAAAAAGAACTATTCCAGATTGAAAGAGACCAAAGTGACACGACAGTTGAATGCAGTGTGTAATCCTGGATTACATCCTGGACAGGAAACGAAAAAGATAAAAAGGAAGACTAATTTCCTTTGTACAAAGGACATTCTCAGAACAATCAATGAAATATGAATAGACTCTGTGGATTAGGGTGCCTGGCTGGCTCAATCAGTTAAGCATCTGCCTTTGCCTCAGGTCATGATCTCAGGGTCCTGGAATCAAGTCCCACTTTGGGCTCCCTGCTCAGCAGGGAGCTGGCTTCTCCCTCTGCCCCTCCCCTCTGCTCATGCTCTCTCTCTCTCAAATAAATAAAATCTGAAAAAAAAAAAAAAGAATCTGTGGATTAGATGGTAATAATAGATCAATGTTAATTTTACTTTGATAGATATACTATGGTTATGTGTAGCTGTTCTTGTTTTTTAGAAAATATACTCTGAGCTATTTTGGAGTAATAGGCGTTATTTCTGTGACTTGCTCTCAACATATGGCTCAGGAAAAAATTACATATGTATGTGTATACACATACACACATATGTATGTGTGTTTGTAAAGAGAAAGAAAATAATAAAGCAAATGTATTAAAATGTTAACAATGGGGAATCTGGGAAAAGTGTATATGGAAATTCTTTGTACTATTTTTAAAACAAATGTGTGATTTTGAAATTATTTCAAAATAAAAAGAAAACATCAATTCTTGCTGGAGTGGGAAATTTTTTTTTAAAAGATTTTATTTATTTATTTGAGAGAGAGACAGTGAAAGAGAGCATGAGAGGCGAGAAGGTCAGAGGGAGAAGCAGACTCCCCATGGAGCTGGGAGCCTGATGCAGGACTCTATCCCGGGACACCCGGACGGTGACCTGAGCCGAAGGCAGTTGCTTAACCAACTGAGCCACCCAGGCGCCCTGGAGTGGGAAATATTTATTATTATTTGAAATGAAAGTGAATTCAATTTTGTCAAATTCAAATATGTCAAACATATTCAAAATAGGAAATAAATCAGTGATTCTTTCATTGTTCTGATGGTTTCACACCAAAATATGAAAAGATTTCTGGGATATTACCTATGTATTATGATTTTGAGATAACTATTTACTGCCCTAATCAGCTGATTCTGTACTCAAATCACCAACTTTAATAATTATGATAAAAAAGCATCCTATGTTATTTCAATTTTTTTTCTTTGCAATTGATTTTTGCTTTATTTGAATTTATGGTTATACACTGAGGATATTGTGCAAATAGTATGGACTACTTTATGGTTGGATTTCTTCATTGATATTAATCCATTAGAAATATTTTAAACTTCTACTTTTATCTAGGAAAAAATAATTATCCTCCCTCAATGAAAGAATAAACTTTAAAAATGTGTAAATCTGTGGTTTTTACAGAACCGAAAGTCAGCAAAATATCAAAGACAACCAAACATAATTATGATTGCCACCATAGTTATGTCTGGATGTTCTATTGATAAGATATTGGTATTTGAATGACTAATGAAACAAAGATATACAAAATTAATAAATTATATTTATCCCATTAAAGTTCTTTATCATGGGGCACCTGGGTGGCTTAGTCCTTAAGCGTCTACCTTTAGCTAGGTCATGATCCCGGGGTCCTGGAATCGAGCCCCGCAACTGGCTCCCTGCTCAGCAGGAAGCCTGCTTCTCCCTCTCACCCACTGCTTGTGTTCCCTCTCTGGCTGTCTCTCTCTCTATCTGCCAAATAAATAAAAAAAATTTTTTTTAAAAAGTTCTTTTTCATATCTTCATTTCAGCAAAATTTCTACATTGTTACCACTAAGATATTACATCATTTGTGTTCTACAGACAATAAAGCCAAATTGGACAGTCTTTCTTGGGTCATTGAAGTTCTTACTTAATTTTTATTAATTTCATTTAGGAGAAATTTTGTTATGCTGAAGCAATACACTATTTAGATTTGGAAATGAATCATGATTTTTACATATCACATTCCAATAATGTAATGGTGTTATATATGATAAATTATTGTTTTTAATAGAATATAATAGACACTTACTAGATATTTTGCCATGTCATATAGCTCACTTTTATTTATTTAATTTTCTTAAAGATTTTATTTATTTATTTGACAGAGATCACAAGTAGGCAGAG